TATAATTCCACATGTGTTAATTCATAGTTTTGATGCCTTCAGTGTGAAGCTACAATATTCATAGTCATGAAAATAAAGACAACTCTTTGAATGAGGTGTGTCCAAACTTTTGGTCTGTACTGTGTATTCAGCAAAAAAGATAATTAATTTCCATGTTTGATTTACATTTTATGTAAAAGAGAATGTCAGAAAAAATTCCCACAATATGGAACAATATAAGAAGAGCAAGAACTGTAGATCAAATTTCTTTAAAAACATTTACAAAATAAAATAAATTTCCCCCCAAAATAATAAAATAAAATAACTGAGCAGGGCTCAGCTCCTGGACATTCTGACAGCGCAGAATGGACATTCTGACAATTTGATGAGAGCGTAAAGTTTATAGACATAATTTAATAGATAAGAAAAGAAACACATTTATTTGACGCTTAGTTTCTCTAAGTTTAAAAGCAACGTTTGTCAGATAGAAATTCTGATTAAGTTTTTTTTGAAATATCACAAAATGTATTATTTGCTTCAGCAAAACTAAGTGAAATTATTGTAAACCTTTTTGGTTTGGGGGCTGCACAGTGGCACAGTTTGTAGCACTGTTGCCTTGCAGCAAGAAGGTCCTGGGTTTGACTCCTGGCTGGGGGTCTTTCTGCATGGAGTTTGCATGTTCTCCCCGTGTATGTGTGGGTACTCACCAGGTACTCCGGCTTCCTCCCACAGTCCAGAGATATGCCTGTTAGGTTAATTGTTCTCTCTAAATTGCCCTTAGGTGTGTGAATGAGTGTGTGCATAGTTGTTTGTGTGTTGCCCTGCGATGGACTGGTGACCTGTCCAGGGTGTACCCCGCCTCCTGCCCGTAGACTGCTGGAGATAGGCACCAGCTTCCCCGCGAACCACTATGGAAGAAGTGGTATAGAAAATGACTGACTGACCTTTTTTGTTTGATTCACGAAGATGTACATTCATTGAAAACCCAGCCAAGGCAGATAACTGGTACAAAATATCTTATATTAGTTTCATTCTAAATTACATATAAACTGGGCTACTGTCTTATGAAAATTAAACTATTTAGTGCCTGAATGTTTCAAGACCCTAAAAACACCCCTGGTGGTACATCTACTTTATAATTAAATTTTTTCTGTGATGGAAAAAAGCCTTTTATTAATGTTTGAACTGATATGGAACTAAAATGGTGCAGACTAAATACAAAAACACAGGACATTTAAGTACTTTCTACAAAAGTAAATTATTTAATAAATAAATAAATGCTGGATTTGTTGATCTTTTCAATGAGTGGCTCGTAACTCAGGATCTGGTAAAATGCAGTAGAAAGCACTTTAAGAAAAAGGGCTTAGAACTTAGTGAAAACTCTAGGCGTGACTTGATGCTGCCACATCAGGCGACTACCATGGGACTAAGAGCTGTCTAGCAGCTCCTTAAAAGCTATCTGGCTAATGAGAAAGTTACACACAGGTCAGCAGCTGCAGATTACTCGCTCCCACCCTTGCAGTGTGAGAAACCAGACTCAAACATACGCAGACTCACCCATAATTATGACAAACAATGGTAACAGTTGGCAGAGCTTCTCTCATTTCTAGATTAGATAAACCTTTTTTTCAGCCCCTGCCAGGACTCGAACCTGGTACTTTCACCAAAAGTGAATGTATTACCTTTGTACACCACAGGAGCTCATTTGGGTTTGTCTCTTCTAAATTTCTCAAAGTTAGAATTTAATCTTATTACAAATATAGCAAGCTCAGATTGTACAACAAAATCATATTTGAGTTAGCAATTTAGTTTTTTCCATAGCTAAAATAAGCCACAAAACTGTTATAGCTTATAAAAATGATGAATAAAAATGGTGAATCATAGCTAACAAGCTCTGTGAACTGTAACCACACTACTACAGCACTAACGATTCTTGCATGGAAGGAGCCAACATGACAATTATTCATTTATATTAATTAAGTTCACACACACTACTGGTCAAAGGTTTTACACACACTCATTTAATGCTTGTCTTTATGTTTATCACTATTTACATTGTACATAGATTTTCACTAAAGGCAAACGAAACATTGCAAAATAACTTTAAATCTGTTTTTTCGTTTAGATTCCTTAAAGGAGCCTCCCTTTGCTGTGATGACTGAAATATTAACCTTTGGCCGTCTCTCAATGAACCTCTGGGAAGTTCTTTGGAAAACCATTTAAGGTGACCACCTCATGAAGCTCAGGGAGAGAAATCCAAGAGAGCAAAGCAGTAATCAAAGGAAAAGGTGTCTGTTTTGAAGAATCTTAAATATAAAAACATTTTGTGATTTCACGCTTCTTGTTTACTATATAATTTCATCTGTGTTCATTCACAGTTTTTGGTGCCTTTGGTGAGAATCTACAATGTAAATAGTCATGAAAATAAAGAGACCCATTTAGTGAGAAAGTGTATCTAAAATTTTGACCAGTAGTAGTGTATGTGCAGTCAAACTAATAGCTTTTTCCTTGGTCTTTGCATATATATACATATATAAAATATATGTGTATATATATCTATATCTACATACATAGATATAGATATATATACACATACTCACAGTCATACTCATCGTCTTCCCCTTATCCGGAACCAGGTCACGGGGGCAGCAGTCTCAGCAAACACACCCAGACTTCCCTCTTCCCAGTCCAGGCGTCCAGGGGGCAATCGAAACAAATGCCCAAGCCACCTCAGCTGACTCCTCTCGATGTGGAGGTGAGGTTTGAGTATCAGCCAGACTCTCCTCTCCAACACCTTGGCATAGGCCTTACTGGGGAGGCTGAGGAGTGTGATCCCACTATAATTGGAAAACATCCTCCGGTCTCCCTTCCTATGAAGGGGGAACACCACCCCGGTCTGCCAGTCCAGAGGCACTGTCCCCGACCGCCTTGCGATGTTGAAGAGGAGCATCAGCCACAACCCCCACAACACCCCCACAGCATCCAGAGACTTGAGGTACTCAGGGCAGATCAAATCCACCCATGAAGCCTTGAAACCATGGAGTTTTTTTACCCACCTCGGTGACTTCGTCCTGGGTGATGAATGAGGCCATCTCAGAGTCCCCAGTCTCTGCTTCCACCATGGTTGAGTGGTCGTTAGGGTTGAGGAGATCCTTGAAGATCATCTTTAACCTCTCAATAATGTCCCCCATCAAGCTCAGCAACTCCTCAGCCCTACTGTGAACAGTGTTGGTGAACCACAGCTTTCCCCTCCTGAGGCGCCAGACAGTTTGCTAGCATCGCTTCGAGGCCGATCGATAGTCCTTCTCCATGGCCTCACCGAACTCCTCCCAGGCCAGAGTTTTAGCCTCTGCAACCGACCGAGCCGTGGTGCACATGGCCAGCCAGGCAAGATAGGACTCCTTCTTCAGCTTGATGGTATTTCTTCCACAGCTTTGTCTTGTACACATCTGCAGCTTAGAGAGAAAGGCAAGCTGGGATGCCTTGGCGTGAGGACCATATTCAACTGTTAAAATTAAACTAGTAATACTTGGTAATTGGACACCTCATTTCCTTGAGGAAACCCACATAAAACGTTTTTAATTTCCTAAATCCCAAACAGAGATTGTTTTTATGCCCGCATTTGTTTTTAGGGTTTTTTATAGGTCGCAACCAGTATTGTCTCGCTGAGTCTGTAACCAAATTCCTCAATGAAATCTTCACTTTGATTTTCTAAACACTTGTTAATGTTTGCTTGGTACTTCTCAACATATTGTCTGGCCAAATATTTCCGAATTTTACTAACTATTCTAATGGTAAAGCTCCTGTTACATACCATTCTAGGTTTCTCCAAAGTATTCTCAAGAATAATATTTACTGTTTTCCTTTCCCCTTCACTGAGAGTTTCACACTTATAAAACCTTTTGAGGTCTGCAAATGTTTGATACATTAAAGATGTTACAGCAATTTTGCGATGTTGTGAATAGGCTACAGGATCAAGATATTCTTTTTGCCCACAAAAAAATTGCATTTTGAAAATAAATTCAACATAAAACTATATTCTAACCTGGTGCAATGTGTCTAATGTGGATGTCTTGTAATGGAACTATAGAAAGAAAGAAAGAAAGAGAGACAGAGAGAGAGCGTCATAAAGGAAGCTTTGATACGTCATTATAGCAGGTGACGAACATGCTTGGCCACGCAGATAGGGATTCTGGGACATTCTTCGAATAGTGACTACACCTAGCAACCACTAGATGGCGTATAAGCTGCATGTAGCCCTGCCATGTTCTTCTGCCCGTTTTACCCTAGTTTTGAAACGTTGCCTTGGGAACGACGTTGTTACGCCACATAAGCGGAGGGATGGGGAACCAATCTGAAAAGGATTTTATCCAGCTACTCTTAGTATGGAGAATTTAACCTTTGTTTTACCATTTATCAAAACAAACGGTGTGAAACTCTTCTATGGAAGAAAGTCTAACAACATGAAACGGTGGAAAAAAAATACAAAAAGAAAAAATGTGTACATTTTGAACACATCCTTTTTTTTCTCCTCTGAGTCGGACTTTCACAAATCGCAAAGTTTATTAGTTTGATTATTTTTTTTAGAACAAGAAAACTGAACAAGCAAAAAAGGTAACATATGGTTTGATAAATGAGTAACAAATAACAATGAACTGAGGCTTCTCAAGATTCCAGTAAAGTCTGATTCCTTGACAAAATAAATCCTGACACCCACAGAGATGATTTAAAACTTTAGCAAAACCTAATAAAATCTGAACAACACCTGGTGGAAAGCAGAAGTTGAGGGCTGCAATCAGAGATAAAATATTTTAGAGGATCAATTGTGTTCAAATATTTGGAGAGGTCTCAGCATATATAAAATAAAAGAATCGTGTGTTTTTAGGATCTAATTATTTTAACACGACTTTGCCCTTTTTTAGTCCTATATCCTTGAAAATGATATGAATGATATGAAAAGGATCAGCCCTGTGATTGACAGCTGACCTGTCCAGGGTGTGCCCTGCCCCTCCTGGGATACACACTGCTTAAGGAAGTAAAAATGGATGTCGGTATCTTTGTCGTTTTTCAAGTTGTTGAACAACGGGAGCCGACAATTTTATGTCCAGAAGACGAAGAAAGATAACAAAAAAGAGAGCACAACTAATTACAATGGCCTTATGTGGAGCAGTGATTGCTACAGACATCTGTGTGGGTGTGTAGTCAGAGTTAGGACGATGATGTAATGATCAGATAAAATGCAACATGACCATTCAGACTGCAGACACTTTGAAAACCATCACATAAATACCCGATTTAGTACTACATAAAGAAGGGCAACATGTGCCCATTTAGACTGCCATGAAAAAGTCTAATGTGGGTCGCATATGGGAAAAGAAATCGGATTTGCCTGCTGTGTGAACATAGCGTTTGTGTTCTGGTCTATTCGTGTTAATTAGTCTCCCTCCCTCAGCTTCCTTGCTTTCATTCTGCCACAGCTGTTCCACATTTCCTCTGACTAGCTTGTTTGGGTTCTTTGTCATCTTCCACCCCTGCTTCAGTATTTTCTCTTTGTTCTCTTCCGTTACTCTCTCTCCGTTACCCTGCCTGTTTCGCCGCCTGTTATTCTACCTGTGCTCCACGACCTGTTGGTCCCACACTTGCCCTTGTAAGTTTCCTTATTTTTTCCTTATTTTGTTTTTGCCATAGCCACACTCTTCACTTGAGTCTTTACACATGGCAGATTTCCTAATGAAATGCAAAGTTTACTTTAATCTAAAAAGAGAGCTATGAACCACAGAGTCCATATTTGTTCTGCTAAGCCCTGGTACACAACTCCACGTAGATTGAGGCACTGACTCCAGCCTCAATCTCCATGTAAAGCTCCCCCAAATTCTTGAATAGATTTTGCTTCACAATCCTCTCAAGGCTGTGGTTATCCCTGTTGCTGGTGTACCTTTTTTGCCATTTGTTTAGATTTGCTTTTGATTGTTCTGTTTAAACTATTGACTGAAACATTTCAGCCCGTAGTCCCAACTTTTCTTTACTTTTCTTTGTCATGTCACTGAAATGTACTTTTTTCATTATGTAAAGCACTTGTCTTGCTGTTGAAATGTACTATACAAATAAGCTTGCCTTACCTTACCTCATTTCTCCTCCAGCAGACTCAGCAGAATTTCTTCAAATTTTGTTCCTCTTCCGTGTGACTAGACAGCTAAGACAATGAGAACAATTACTGCTCACCTGTCTATGGTGGTGCTGTTTGTGTGCAAATTACCATTTTTCTTCTTCTTTTGACTTATTGCTGGGTTTCATAGCCAGTAATTTAAAAAAATACAATGAGAGGAATTGGGCTGGGAGAGAAGAGGGGAAGACATGCAGCAAAGGTCTCTAGGTCAGGAATCCGACCCAGAATGGCTGTGACCAGGACTATAGCCACTATGTAAGGGGCGCCTGCCCTACCGCTACACCACGATACAGGGGTTGGACAATGAAACTGAAACACCTGTCATTTTAGTGTGGGAGGTTTCATGGCTAAATTGGACCAGCCTGGTAGCCAGTCTTCATTGATTGCACATTGCACCAGTAAGAGCAGAGTGT